AAAGAGCAGTCTGAAAATCTCTATGTTAAACTGATAAGAGAGTGCCACCACTATCTGCATCACTGAGAAAAAAAAAGATACCAAGCATTTATTAAGGCCATAATTTATTTAAAAACTAGTTCAATAATTAATTTTCCTCCAAGTAAGAAAACACTTAATGCATTTAAATTTCACTATTTCACCTCTGGCTAAGAAACAGTTGGAAAGAACTAATAGGAAATAAGAGTTACATAAAAATCAAAACATGAACTGAAGCATAAATTTAATATGTTAGGGGATTGGCATTGTACCATAGTGGGTAAAGCTGCCACCTGCATCACTGGCATCCTATATAGGTGCCAGTTTGTGTACTGGCTGCTCCACTCTGATCCAGCTCCCTGCTAATGTGCCTGGGAATGCAGTGGAGGATGGCCTAAGTGCTTGGGCCCCTGCTACCCAGATGGGAGACCTAGAAGAAGCTCCTGGCTCCTGGCTCTGGACTGGCCCAGTTCTGGAATATGAGGCCATTTGGGGAGTGAACCAGAGGTTGGAAGAGCTTTCTCTGTGTCTACCCCTCTCTCCCTCTCTCAAACTCTGCCTTTCAAATCAATAAAATGAATCTTAAAAAAAATAAAAATAAAAAGTTGATCTTGTAGAAATTAGGAGTTATAATGGTGTTTAAAAAATGTAGTATATTAACCTTACTACAAAGTTTCATCTTCTCAACATAGGCATTCATGTAAAGAACAATCAGTGACCACTTTTCTTCAATGAGATATTCTTGAGCTACTGATCTTCCATTTCTTCCAATTGATAAACAGTGGCAACCAAAAATAATTTTAATGTAGTTCTTTGCAGTAATTTACTTAGATGAAAAATAAGTGTTATGGGGCTAGCACCGTGGTGTAGTGGGTTAAGTTGGCACCTGCAGCACCCACATCCCAGATGCATGTTGGTTCAAGTCCCAGCTGCTCCATTTCCAATCCAATTCCCTGCTAATGCACCTGGGAAAGCAACAGAAGATGGCCCAACTGCTTGAAGCCCTGCCATCCATGTGGGAGACCAGGATGACTCCCTTGGCTCCTGGCTCCAGTCTAGCCCAGCTCCGGCCATTTTGGGAGTGAATGAGAAGATGAAAGACTTTCTCTGTCTCTCCCTCTCTCTGTAACTCTACCTTTCAAATAAATAAATCAATCTTTATAAAGAAGAAAAGATTCCAGAGCCTTCTCAAAAGTTGTACAATTAATTATGGGCACCAATTCTAAAATGAGCTCAGTTTTAGATTTTATATAAAGCAGATGCCAAGCTATGGAGAACAAGTGAAATAATCATCAATTCTGGGGACTCTGAGCTGGGGAATTTATAACCTATGTTCCAGATTTAATCATTTTATTTAGCTCATAAGTCATTTTTTGAGAAGACTTAATTCTTTTTATGCTGTAGGACTTTTGGTTTTAATAGGATTTCTTCTTGATAAATGCACTTTATGAATGCAGCTTATAACTTTAGTGCACAAAGGAGAAGAATTATGGTTACAGAACTGCCTCAGAATTCCTTTGCTTCCTCTCACTAGCAGGGTGAGTTTTGTCAAGTGAATTATCTCAGAAATCCAGTTTCATCGACTATAAAAAGGGATAAAGATTCTGATTAACATTGTAGGTAGGTCAGGGGAAGAAGCAGAAGCAACAGAGGACAGTGCCACAGCAGCGAAAGATGACACAAAGATAGACCAAAGGAAATTTGTGAGGAGAGCAGGACTTGGGAAGTCAAGTGTTTCAGTTCATTAAGAACTAAGAAAAGGCCACGGGATGTGGCGCGAGGTCACTGGGGACTTTAAGTGGATTGCTTTCATCCATTCTCTAACTACTTATTGGCACGTGTTTCTGGCACAGTACCAGGTTTTCCATGGTCGAGAGAAGATGGAGAGAAGTCAGATTAGAAAGCATTAAGAACTGAAGAGTGATTAAGAGTTTCACATGAAAGTTTTAGATAAATGGTAGGAGTGACGTCCAGAATACAGACTAAAAGAAAAGAAAACCAAACCCACAAAATGGAAAAAGGTTTTAATTTTATAAATTTAGAGAGAAACAAAGACAGACCTGAGGCAAATGGAAAGAAACCAGTGAAGACAGAGGGATGGAAGCAGTAGGCAAGGTGCAAGAGAAGGTTAGCCTTGGAAGGCAGGACTCTGCCTCTGAAATGAGTAGAAGGCAGCAAGGTACAACAATGTGCTTCCCTCTCTTTTGAACGCAGCAAGAATCAAACTCTACAAAACAAAGGTAGAATATGGACATAAGAACCTGATTAATACTAAAGAAATACATATCCCAGTAGAATAGATACAAGTGTCAAAAGCACCTCATATGTTCACAAGACAGCAAAGTCTATATAGAGTATAATTGGTATTTTAAGCATCAAAAATTTAGTGATGTCTGAAGACATCATAGTCTCTAAATGTTTAAAAAAAATACATTTTTGTTGCTTAAAACTATCTTATAACCAACAATCTTTGGCATTGTGTTTGGGAATCTCAAAGTCAAACACAAAACGCTGACCTACATAAACATGTTTATTAAACAAATCTGCTATGATTTGGATTCAAGAGAAAAATGCTGCATATTCTCCCCTTCCTACCTATCACAGGAGGCACTGTAAAATTCAAGTTAGCAGATGGAAGCACGGTAAGATGCCAAATTGCAGGGGAATTCTATGTTCAGAATACTCTTAATTACACAGAAAACAAATGACAAGCTTCATGCCACTTGCTAAATGAAAAATCTTCAATTGAGAGCTGGGTCTGTGTGGCTAAAGTGAAAAAAAAAATCTTACTAGTTTTTCCAGAAGGTTTGAAAAAACAAGAAATGTGGGCCAAAATGCTCAAGGTACTCCAGAGAGAATGCCATGGTGGATGCCTTCCCTTTCCATCACGAGCTAGCCAGAGCACCTATGTTTAAGGAACCGTATGGGCCTCAAATCAGAAAAGAAACAGTTCCAGAACTATGAGTGGTATTTATGTAGGGACCCAGAGATGAAAACAAAGTTATTGTGGCCAGTTAAACTAAGATACTAAGAATGGATAGAAAAGAGAGTTAGCATGGAGGTGCAATTGCTGTATTTACCACCATACATACTTACTGAATCCATAAAGCTGTGATGTTCTTTTTTTTTTTTCTTTGACAGGGAGAGTGGACAGTGAGAGACAGAGAGAAAGGTCTTCCTTTTGCCATTGGTTCACCCTCCAATGGCTGCTGCGGCCGGCACACTGCGCTGATCCAAAGGCAGGAGCCAGGTGCTTCTCCTGGTCTCCCATGCGGTTGCAGGGCCCAAGCACTTGGGCCATCCTCCACTGCCCTCCCGGGCCACAGCAGAGAGCTGGTCTGGAAGAGGGGCAACCGGGACAGATTCTGGCGCCCCTACCGGGACTAGAACCTGGTGTGCCGGCGCCATAGGCGGAGGATTAGCCTAGTGAGCCGCAGCGCCGGCCGCTGTGATGTTCTAATGTGAATCTCTGTAGGTGGCAAAACAGGACTATTGGAAATACAAGGTTGAATGTGTCCAAGTTTGAAGCCTGCACTTTTTTTGTGAAAGTGCAGCTGAAATAGCAGACCTACAGGTAGGGCTGAATGGGAAACCGAGAAGAGAAAGCAGGAAGGTTTGGGGAAGTTCCAGAGTGGGTACAGGGTCAATGACAGATTGAGAGATGGAATGACAGGGACTGATAACCAAAGAAACTCCAAAGTTTGAGATCCCAGGCGTAACAGTCTTGACAGCAAGGAAACTGCGAGGGCAAAATGTCACATAAGGCATTAGATGTGAAAATTTTGACTAGGGCAACTCAAGGCACATAAAAAGTGAAGAAGAGGAAAAAAACAACGGAGACCATGCAACAGCAAAGCAGCAGGTTGGCTACCAACTGGCTGCAGAAGCCAAGAAGGTACACAATGCATAAAACCAGGCCACAGGAGCAACACTCACAAGGCAGTAATGAAAGGCAAGCAAGGTGATCCCAGTATTTTTCTTTCAATAGAGTAGATATTGCTATTTTTTTACTATGACCGAGAAGGCAGGAATAACAAAATTAAAGCAACTTTATCTTTGCCATTTTTAATGCGTTTTGACCTTATAAAGGGATCATGAATAATGAAGAATTCAGATGACTTCTGGAGCCTTCTGCTGACCAAAGTAATTTACTCAGAAATCCCTGAAAAGTATAAACTTTCTCCTTGACTGACTGCCATAAATTGCATAAAAAGAAAGCATGTGCGACCAAAAGCCACCATTGTATATCAAAAGGTGATCACTCACCGGTAAATTTGAAATATTTAATTTTTAGGAAAAGTACTATAAATAAGTCAGAACTGTTCAATGATTTTCAAGAATTTTCAACCACTCATAGATGTGTAGCTTACACCCTTCTCATGCTTGTCTTGTAGAACCAAAGATCAGTTTTTATGTAGGTGCTTTTAAAAAGTTCATGGCAGAAATTAAAAGATGTTCATTTTGATTCCAAAGAAACTGAAATCAATGCATACAACACGTGTTTTTAAAAGTTCAAGAAAAATGGGTACGGTGAAAAACCTATGCCTGAATTTTGGCTTGCAGACGAGCTGCCAAAAATACTTCCATCACATGGCAGTGACCTGTATGGATACGTTATTAACTTCTACCCACAAAAGCATTTTTAGATGACTGTACCATTTCAGAATACTAAGAAATCTAATATCATCTGAAGGAAAAGAGACCATAGCAAGGTCATGAGATCTGATTTACAGATGGGCAAATGAAAGAAACAGCGCCTCAGGTGGTTAACGGCAGAGCAAGCAAACCCTCCTTAGTGCTCCTCTGGCTGGACCCCCATGCCCTGCCCCCACCTCAGGAGTTCAAGTGTGAACACAGCTGGGATCGATTTCCACATAAAGTAACACAGGGCATTCTTTTTAAAATGTACAATAACAATCACAAAGGACAACTGAGCAGGAAGTTGAAATAACGTCTTGAAATAATTTAATTTCAAACTATACCTTTACTGCTTCTGATGAAAGTACATTTTCCTTTTTCTGACTTGCACTCCTGGGCTCATTTTCAACACTGAAAAATACAAACCACAGTTTCATTTGAAATCAAAAGAGAATTAGTAAACTTGTACAATTTCTGTATTTTAAGCCAAAAAAAGAACAGTCCCTTATCCACAATGTTCAAAGATTCATACACAAATGTTATATAAACACTATATAAATCTGAATCTCTTGAAATACACTCAAAAATGCTCATGCAGGACTCAAATTTTTGTGAGTTGACTGTGCTTCTGTTCTTTAGCTCTTCCTATTCTGACAATCGCTATCACAGCAAAGAGGCACATAAACAAAGTAGCAGCCATGTACACCAATCATAACCTTGCAAAGTGCTGGCATGCTGGCATCTTGTGTCTATACGGATTCTCCAGTATCTGATCTTGTTTAAAGCCCATGCATGTTGTTTCTATTTGGCGAATCATACACATACAGGTTCATCAGACTCCAAAACAGATGCAGGCATGTCTAGATCCAAATGAATCCCTGACGACATTTAAGAACCTGATTTTCTAGAGAGTCATTTTCAATTGCCTTTGGTCTCGAATATCCCACAAATACCCTATGTCATAATAAATAACTCTGCCTATCACACACATGTATGAAGGTACTTCAAAATGTTCACGGAAAAATGGAATGAAAAGATGGTTAGTGTATTTTTATGCAAAAAATTTTTGAAATTCATGCAAAGGTAGGTTCTTCAAAATGTTCATGGAAAATGTGTATTATGAAAAGAATATAAATTTCAAATTTTTTGCACCAACATACTTACCATTTAATTCTACTTTCCATGATCTTTTTGAAGTATCTCATATATTTTAAATATATTTATATAATCTGTGTTCATACACTATCTTATTTTTATCCTTTCCAAATCCTACACAAACCAGATATTTCCAGCTTAAATGTTATCATGAATGTCTACCAATTGCCAAGGATTATGATTGGCCTTGTGATGTACAGTAAGTTGGTCAGGGTCTTTGCAAAACTCAGTCTAGCTGGAGAGACTCGAACAGAAACTTCAACAGTTTTGGTAAGAGCTGTAACTGCTGAATGTACAAACTGCTAGGAAGCACAGAGGAAAGAAGGAATAACTGATTCATCCTGCTCAGTAAACATGCCCGCAGAAGAGGTACAAAGGCAGGGACTAAGAGGGAACGCGGTGTGCGGCGTTTTGGAAAACCACGTTCTGATTGTTTGTTTTTATTACAGGAGCACAGTACTTGGAACAGGCAGAGGTAATCCTGTAGGTGATGAGAATATGACCAGTGTTCAGAGTATGAAGAACTGGCCCAACTTGTTAGAGATTTTTATCTTTGCCCTACATGCAGAGGGAAGCCAACAGACAGCTGTTAGGGGACAAGGGGAAGCAGGAGGACAACTGAGAGACATGCAGTCTTGTTCATTGATAGTAGAGGGACTGGAAAGAAGGTGTTACCAGTAATTCATATTAAAAAAGGACTTGGGGGCTGATGATATGGTATAGTGGGTGAAGCTACTGCCTGCAGTACTGGCATCCCAAACGGGTGCTGGTTCAAACCCTGGCTGCTCCACTTCCGATCCAGCTCCCTGCTAATGCACCTGGGAAAGCAGCAGCAGATGTCCCTTGTGCTCAGGGCCCTGCACCCATGTGGGAGGCCCAGGAGAAGAACCTGGCTCCAGGCTTTGGTCTGGCCCAACCCTGGCCATTGGGGCCATTTGGGGAGTGAACCAGTGGATGAAGACCTCTGTCTCTGCCCCTCTCCCTCTTCCTCTCTATCTCTGTAACTCTGCCTCTCAAATAAAAACAAATAATAATAAAAATCCCAAAGCAGATGAGATAGAGGGAAAGGACACAATTTATGCTATTTCAGAGTGCCTATCAGTGCTATTTTGCTAACTATCCAAGGAATAAATTAACAGCAATGGTCAAAAGATGGGAAAACAAGATAAGAGATTATGGACACCTGGTAAATTCAAGTTCATTAAGTCCTAGACTCTAGGAACACACAGACCAAGGAGACACAGTCCTGCTCTTAAATCTTTTAAATGTTGATTGGAAAAGCAAATATATAAAAAAGATAACACATACATTATGTGTTAAACACATATGAAATTCTATAGTAAAAGATCAAGGGACAAAAGTAGAGAATACTGCACAAGAATTATAGCCTATATAAATAAATAAATGTATAAAATAAGAATGTCTCAATGAACTGGTATAAGGACAAGAGGGTTCTTATCTCTTTTTTTTTTTTTTCTATTTCACTAGCCTTCTCTTTCGCCACATGGTTGTTTATAAGCTGTTTGGGGTTCTTTTTTTTTTTTTTTTTTTTAAGTATATGTGATTTGATACTGGTCTGCTTAAGCACAAATTAAAGAAAACCCACAGGTAAATACATGTACAAAAAGCATGTTACAAGGATTTGAGATATAATTAAGAATACTGACCTTGATGAATTTATAAATTCATTTTCTGACCACAGTCTATTTTAACCTCTTACGCCACAATGCCAGCCCCCAACTATAGTCTATTTTAAATGACCAACCTTCAAAGCAAACTAAACATAGAACTTTTTTAGTTTCGTAGTTCTTCCTTCAAGATTCCTGACATTCTATTCATTTAGAGTATTTACATGACTCTCTGTAAACATACTGCCTTAACAAGACTGTAAAGGCACATGGCAAGAAAAAACAAAACAACTTAATACCAAAACTCTGCAAGAAACACGAATCTGAGTTCATGGGATTAAGAGAGAAAACCGTTTCAAGAAACTGTAATTACTTCCAAGGGCATACTACAAACACAAAAATTCCTGATAAGCAGCAATAAATCAGCACATAAATCTCTGGAAAACAACTAAACAACTTACAGTTTAAAGCACCCCAAGAAATATTACTCAACAATTCTTAAAACTCTGAGGCATAGTCTAAGTTCCACGACCCTTACTGCTAAACCAAAATTTTAACATGTGTTCAGTCTTAAAACAACTGATACATTCAAAAATTTTGGTTTAGTGCTTTTTCAAAAAAAATCATTGCTTTAACAATTTTTTCCTAGATTGAGTCCCTTTTAATCTCTTATTAGTACTGTTCTGTTTCAAGCCATTGTTCACACAGCTTTCAAAGTGTTCTTCAACCTGATCATGATATTCACTTGTTAGAAATACCTTCAACAACTCTCTAACAGTTAGTGAATAAAATGAAGAGTCCTTAAGACTGATGTAGAAAATTATTTATAACCTGGCTTCAGGCACACCAGCCACACAGAACTGCTTCACATTGCTACAGTATGGCAAGTTCACAGCTCCTCAAAGCACCTTCTCCTGCCTACAGTATCGTTCCCTACCCTACGCAATTCTTAATCCTTTACAGTTTACTTCTAGCTTTACCTCTATTTTGTGTGCTCCCACTAAAGCCAGTGATACCACTTATGCATTTACCTCCCTTTATTTTAACGGCCAGTTGGCCAGTTGCCCACTTGCCCCGCTAGAAAATGAACTTAAATTCAGAAAATGCAAGGCAGGTGTTGTGGCACAAGAAGTTAAGCTGCCACTCTGAGATCCCGCATCCCATATGGGAGTGCCTGGTTTGAATCCTGACTACTCCACTTCCAATCCAGTTTCCTGCTGGTATATACCAAGGAGGCAGCAGATCATGGCTTAAGTGCTTGGATCCCTGCTTACCAAGTGGGAGACCCAGATGGAGCTTCGGGCTCCTGGTTTCATCTCTGGATATTGCCAGCACTTGGGAGTGAACCAAGAGATGAAGAGATTCATTCTCTCTCTCCCTCCCTCCCTTTCAAATAAATGAAATATAAACATCACAAGAAAAAAAAAGATATCACTCACGTCTGTGTCCCAGAGCCTAGCACTGCACCAGGCATTGTGAAGGCACTCACATACTATTTAAGTGAATAATACTAAAGTAAACTCTAACCGTTTATCCATTTGCACATGGTTTACCTTAATCTGAAAACACTGGTCTCCTGGGAATAATGTGATCCGACATACTATTATCCCTTAACTGGAGAGTATATGGGTCTCTTAAAAGAACATACCAGCCACTTCTATTCTGCATCATCTTCCTTGAAAGAAACAGAAAGGGGAGAGGGGCTGGTAGAAAAACATGGCTTAACAAGGTCATTTTCAGCTGATTTAAAAATAAAACAAATAATATTAGAACACAGCATCTAAGGACACTTAGAGCACTGAATATTCTGTATAGTGAAAAAATAACAGAAAAGATTCACAAGGTTTTAAGTGGTGCTTTCAGACTCTTAAAACCGTGAAGGAAAGAAAAATGCACTCAAATCCACAAGATCTCAAACTTTAGGAAAGACAACAGCCCACTTCTATTGTTTGCTCACAATTCAACCCCCTTGGGGGGACCCAGGGATATTTCAATAGCAGTATTTTTAGAAAGTACACACTTTACTCTCTGCAGGCGGTGAGGGACAAGAGTCATAATCACACGTATGCACAAATAAAACCACCCTGCATTTCTAGATAGCTTCATCTTAACTTAGAGCTAACAGTAACCCGGAAACTTGGTCTTCAAAAAAGCCCAAACATGAAGGTCAATGTAACACAAAATCTCCTGATTTTTAAAGTAACCTTATTTACACCAAAACTGAAATCTAGGAATTCAATGTATAGTCTTTAAACATTATTTTATGCCAGACATAAAACAAACCTCTGTGACATAAAAAACAGAGCACATCAACATTCTAAAGTTCAAATAATTTAGAGATCCTAACCCTTCACAGATATTCTTATTATATATACTCTTATTTTTATTATATTCTAACAATATGCTCTAATAGATAAGAACCAGAAAACCTGGCCCAAGAACTCACTCACCCACCCAACGCTTGGATGTGCCTAGCATTGTTCTCAATGCTAGGAGTTAAGCAGTGAACAACCCAAGCAAATTCTTTACCTTCATTCTTCAGCTCCTCGATCTAACAAGGTATTTCAAAGTTTGTGGAAGGGTGGGTGGTATAGAGTGGCTAAGTTGCTGCTAGGGGTGCCTGCATGC